AACCACTGATGCAGGGGTGTAAGGAAATACCAGAAAATATTAAACGATGAACACATGATAAAACCTATATTTTTAAAAATTAAAAAGACATGGTCATACTCAAATATAAGATAAGGATCTCTATGGACAAAAGAAGAAATGCAACACAGAGAAACAAGTAGGGCTAAAACCATAGGCATGCTGGGCTCTGAGATCCAGAAGCATGAATTAGCCAGAGGAAACAGAGGCTATCACTGAGACAAGACCTAGTCCAAACTATTCTCTGGCACAGTGAGTGAATCTATATTACCAAAATCTCTGCAAAGGGAGTCCTGAGCCACCAACAGTAGACCAATTTTAAAAAAGGACCAGTGAGGCATCTTAGAAATGAAAAATTCAAACATTAAAAAAATGGAATAAACCATTCTTTGAACACAAAGAATTAATGAAATGAAAGATAATACTGAGAAATTCACCCAATTACAAAAATAAATGAAAAATATGAAAAAGAAATTATGAGACATGGAAAAGCTTGAGTATATAACATAAAACTAAAAAGAGTTCCAAAAGAGAGAACACACAAGTAGCAGAAAAGCAATACTCAATATTCAGAGATACAACCTAAGATTTTTTTACATTAAAAAATTTTAAGTTTACACATAGTAAAATTCACATTTTTTTGGTGTGCAGTTCTATAAGTTTTGACAGTGCTCAATCACCACCACAACTAAGTTACAGAACAGTTTTATCACCCCCCAAAATTTCCTCACACTGCCTCTTTGGGGTCACGCATTAACTGCTGCAAACACTGATTATTTTCCATCTCTCCATACTTTTCCCTTTTCCAGAATTTCATATAAATGGAATCGCACAGCATGTGGCCTTTTGAGTCTAGTCTTTTTCACTCAGTATACTGTATTTAAGAGTCATCCATGTTGTTGTATGTATCAATAGTTTATTTCATTTTATTGTTGAGTAATATTCCATTTTATAGTGATTAGGAATACATTTACTATACACTTGCATATAGCTCTTTGTTTAGAAATAAGTTTTTATTTCACTAGGGTCACACAGCAAGAATATATTCAAATTTATAAGAAAACTGCCAAACAGCTTTTTAGCAAAAAAAAATTTTTTTGGTTCCATGGCTCAGATTGTCAAACTGCTTTTTTTTTTTTTTTTTTTTGAGACAGGGTCTCACTCTGTTACCTGGGCTAGTAGCTCATTGCAGTCTCAATCTGTAGAATGCTTTGGTTTACCCTACAGATTCAATGCAATCCCTACCAAAATACCAATGAAATTCTTCACAGAAATATAAAAAACAATCCTGAAATTCATATGAAACCACAAAAGACCTCAAATAGCCAAAGCAATCCTGAGCAAAAAGAACAAGTTTTGAGGCATCACACTACCTGACTTCAAAATATACTACAATGCTATAGTAATCCAAACAGTGTAGTACTGGCATTACAAACAGACACACAGACCAGTGGAACAGATCAGAGAACCCTCAGGTCTGCTCAGTGAAAGTTTATCAGATTTAACACTTATGAATAAACTAGACCTATATACATATCAGCATGAATAAAACTGAAAAAAACAATGTTCAATGAAAAAAGCAAGGTCTATAATTTATATTCAATGATTCTAATTATGTACTGATCCCATTTATATACATTGAAAGAAAACACAGAATAATACTTTTAACAATTAAAAGTAACAAAAGTATTACCTTTGTATGACATTAGTTGTCTCTGGCGGGGAAATTAGGAGAATGGGACTGTGGATAGAACATAAACTTAGACTTTATCTGTAATGTTTCATTTCTTAAAAAAATTACAGAGCTGAAGCTTATATGATAAAAAAAAAGTGTTCATTTAGGAGATTACATGGGTGTTTGTTATTCTTTTTACTTTTCTTTTTTCTTTTCATTTGTCTGCTTTTCTCAAATGTTTTAAAATGTAAAAATAATATGATATTTTGTAAAAAAATGAAAAAGAGAGGAATATATTTGTATAAGGAAAATAATCAACATTGGCTATTCCTGGGGTAAGGGCTTATAGGTAAAATTTTCACTCCAAACTTCTATATATTCAAATTTTCTACCATGAATGTCTTAAAAAAATAAAATATTCTGTTGAAGCTTTATATGTAATTCCTGACTCATCTACTTAGATGCTACAAGTCTCCTTGTAGCCCCTTCTATATTTTTATCACTGTGTTTACAGCTCACTTAGCTTTCACCTCCTGAGGCTCTCCGCCCTCCTATTTATCCTCCTTTTTAAAATTCTTCATTAGGGAAGAAAAGTAGGTATGATTAGTACACTATTCTAGCCTCTGGTTTAAATGGACCATTTATACCTCAGGGGAATTTTAATGAAATATAAAGATTATGAAAGTTTCCAAAACACTTTACCAAGGGAATGACAAATTACATATTTGCTAATACCTTCAACAAGTCATGCTTTCTCTCTAAATCGATTTGTAAAATGAGAAGCCTTGACTCTCTGATCATTAAGTTCTGCTCCCACTCTGAAGGTTTAGTTAATAAATATTATAAAGCAATATTATATGCAAGGTATTTTTACTTTTTTGACTCTGCCCTTAACTGTGCTATTTAATGACTCCTCACTTGCAGTAGACACTCTATCATATCACCCTATTTCTTTGCCTTTAATAAATATCATTAATAATATTTTTTATTTATTGGTTTATTGTCTATTGTCTGTCTTCCTCCACTAGAACATAAGTCTTTTTCACTATAGTATTCTCAGAGTTTAGAATAATGACCGCTTACTCAAGAAATGATTGAATATTCAATGAATGACTGAAAGAAACTGTGCTAGATGCTAGTATTATTATAAAAAATGAATAATATGAGATTCTTCCCCTCAAGAAATATGTTGCTTAGTAGGAAGGACATACATAGAAAAAAGTGCAATAAAAAATATTATAGATGTTACAGTGGACAAAATAAGTAGAAAATAAAGACACAGGAAGATCTATAAAAGACAGGGGGAAGTTAAAAAGAGAGAGAGAGAGAGAGAGCACCTTCACAGTTAAACATTGCCTGAGAACTTCCTATTGCCAAATCCTTGTCAAGAATTGATGATTCAAAGATAAGCAACACATACAATCTAGAAGAGGACAAGACATTTAAACAGATATGTTCCTTAAAAGATCCTAAGTGCTATAATAATAACCTGTTTACAGTGCTGTGACAACAGAGGCAGTTTGACCCAGAGGAAGAACAGTTTTCTAGAAATGACACCTGA